CCCCCCCAACACCGAAACCAAACAGCATGACGCAGAGGGGGTCTGAGGCACTCACCTGTCAGCTCACCTGAGAAATCAGGAAGTGAAACTGAGCAGCGGAGTCGGAGGGGGAGGGGGAGGGGGCGGACAGACGGTATTTTCACCTGTACATATTTTAACCTGCATGTTTGGCCCTTGGTTCACCTTATAACGTCACAGAGCGCGCGAGCAGGTGCGTCAAAGTTTACAACAGGTGAAAGCCGTACTTTAACCGCCTCTCTCACACACACACACACAAACAAACACACACACACAGGTACAAAGTCTGAGTTCAGATCAGGGGAATAAAGTAAAGAGTTAAAGGAGCTTCTCCTCCTCTTCTTTCTCCTCACCGAGAACTCCGCTCCGCTAGCCTTAGCCACTAACTGCGGCAGAAACTGCGCTTCCGGTCCGCACTCTAACAGAGAAACAGTCCGCACACGAAGCGACACTTTCCCCAGAAAAACACGTAGATTCTCAGAGTTTCAAACTGGTGAGAAACTCACATAAACTGGATCCAGTCTGCCACCAGCGTCACTTTAATGCCGCATTCATGGCTGTAGGAAATCTGATGTCTAAGGATGCAAAAGCATAATGTAAGGATCATTTTGTTTTCTTATCATCAGTTTAACTGTTTTTAATTCCGTATTCTGTTTAAAAGCACATTCATTATTTTAGCACAACAAGGAAGAGAAATTATTTCTACATCTGAGATAAAATATCCGTACTAAAACGAGAAAATAACACACATGAAGCAGGTTGAAACTGTTTTACCTGTCAGCATTTTAAGCTTATTTAAAGAGCTGATTTTATAACAAGAACAAAGGTTATATATATGTCTTATGGTTAAAAATGATTTGAAAACGATACAAATAAAACCAAAATAATAAATATAAATGGTTTGCCGAGCCTTCCTGGTCCTACATCCTCTGAGTTCCCAGCATGCTGCAAGTCCCTGAAGGTACCGCCCTGTCACGTGATTCAGGGAATCATGGCGTCCTCCCGGAGGCGGCTGCTGTATGTGCGCTCCGGGGCGCTCAGCCTCTTATTTTACTGCGTTTATTCGCACCTGCAGCTGGTCCTGAGCGAGGAGGCGGAGAACTGCCAGAACCTGAGACTCGGACAATATCCTTCCGTCCGTGTTTACCGCGCTTTAACGCCTCATTACCGGGGTCACGGGACGGCTAACGTTAGCCTAGCTTCTCTGTGACATTCAGATCAAAACGTTACATTTGGATGTTTTTTGGGGTTCCGTGGCTTAATGCGGGTTTCTCCTCTCATAGAATAGCACTGTGTGTTTGCATGTTTGGGAAGGGGTTTTTCAGTCTGATCGATATTTTTAGATCAGTGTGGTCAGATTAAAGTTTCAAAGGAGGACAAGCTTCCCGTTGTCTTTGCAGTTACGAACGGATATTTAACTTCAATCTGAAGACCGAACAGTTTACTTTTGTCAGGGGAGCTCAGACACCCGAATCAGGAGAATAAGTTTGTTTCATAAACACAGAATGTTTAATCAGTGCAGCACTCTGCTGTTTTCATCAGTCATACCTAATGATACGATATTATTGTGATTTTTAACCTTTGTGTCCTTCATCAGTGTCTGTTTTACCCAGTAAGATAAAGTTCAATTATTGTCAACCAAGCCAAGGCTGTCACTAAAACCTGCCGTAAATGTTGCCATAAGATGAAGTTAGTCTGCAAATGAATGCAGTCTGTCTCTGATAATTCACCAAAGTTTAGTACAAGTATGATTTGTGACAAATTGAAAATCATGCATCTGTCCAGATAGACAGAAATTCACATTTAATTATCACATCTGCGCTCAGCAGCCTTCCTGTGCTAGAGGATTATAACCAGGGTACAGCCCAGAGTCGATCTGTGCTCCGTGACAACTGATGGGAACATGATGGCAATCAGTCTGCATTTATAAAGCAGAGAAAACAGCTGTACAGTCGGCAAGAGGCTGCCGATTTAATTGTACATGTGAGGAAGCTAATGTTATCTCAGGATGGTGTGCATGACATTGTTTGTGGGATTCCAGAGTATTTTCATTTATTTAATGAAGTATCGATATTTGGGGTCCTTGTATCCATACAGTATCTTGACACGATGCTGTATCGACTTCTTTTCCCCGCCCCTAAACCACGGTCTACACCGTGTCATGTAGAAACAGGCTGCAGATGTTTTCCGACTGAAGTGTGTTTGCCTTCCTTCACTCTGCTCACGTATAAATGCAACGATCCAAAGATTGATGAATCCACTCAGGAGCCAGAGAACTGCAGGGACATGACGGCGTGGGGTGAGTCTCACTTCAGATTAGATTTTTTTCTGTTTGTGGGCAGTGGCTTAAAAAACAGGCAGACTCTAAAACTGAAGATGTTGCAGAGCTGCTCTTCTGCAGGCTTCCACAGGTCATCCAATCAAGAGAAACTGTACTTTATTTTGGGGGGGGGGGGTATAAAGATAAGAGTTTTTCAGACAGGATGAACTGAGGGGTTGCACTGAAGCTGGGATCAGGTAAAGAAGGATTATTATGAATCGTGAATCATGCGGAGCTGCTCAGTGGCGCGAATACGATCATAACTGCATCTAAACAAGTGTGCGTGTGTGTGTGTGTGCACGCAGTGGAATGCCTCCCAGCTCCAAACATCAGCTGTCGGCTCTCCAACGGGACGGTGTTCAGGTTTAGCGGGGATGAGGTCGGCTTCAACAAATCCATCCCCTGCAGAAATGTGTGAGTATTCACAGTGCAAGCACAAACACACGCGCACATACACACACTCCTCTATAGATTTTGGTGTGTGTGTGTGTGAGCTTCAGGTGGTTTGATGCTCTCTGTGTTTCCTGTCAGGAGTGGTTATTCCTACAAAGTGGCCGTGGCATTGTCTCTGTTTCTGGGCTGGCTCGGAGCAGATCGCTTCTACCTGGGATATCCTGCTCTGGGTACTCTCTCTCACACACACGCACAGACACCTGCAGCTTTTATTTTGATGCCTGTAGTTTGGGTGGCCAGCTCTCTCACTTCATCTAGTTTTAGTAAAGCAGGTGTGGATGGAGGTGTGTGTGGTGGGTGGGGGTGCAGTCAGGTGACACCTGTCGCTGAGCAGGTGTACTGTCAGGCGTCAGTATTTGGACAGTGATTCCTCAGGTTCAGCCTTTCAGGTTTAATTTAAAGAATTGAATAAAAGGAAAAACCTTAGAGTCATGTTTTAGATTTACAGCTTTCTCATGTCTGCAGGTATTTATTAAAGTGAATACTATGTACTAGGGCTGGGCCATATCATACCGTTCAAGGTAATACCGGTATAATGTTGGGCAACGATAAGAAAATGAAATATAGAATATGGGTAAAACGTGCATGTGTAGTGCCTTTGTTTTTATACGCACATGGCGGAAAAAGCTTGGCGGCGACGGAGAATGAGAAGGGAGAAAGCGGATCGTTGAATGAAACGGATGAACCAGAATTGGTTTGTAAAAATGCTGCAACTTCAGTGGTGTGGAACGTTCCACACCACTGGTTTAGCTTTCGTCCGTCAGATACACGACAAAGCACTACTTTTGGTAGAGCATGCTAACGGGCCGTCGTTATTACCGTGTTTTTTGGAAAATACGGCACACTTGAAATCAATCCTTTGATTTTTCTGAAAATCGACAGTGCCCCTTATAATCCTGTGTGCCTTATGTATGAATTCTGGTTGTGTTTACTGACCTCGAAACGGTTTTATGTGGTACACGGCGCTCGAAAATCTGTCAAATGTTTCAGTACGACTTTGCTAAGCTACGAAGCCGCACCGCTTGATGGATTGTCGGAGCATTATGGCTATCGTAGGCAGGAGCCTCACGGAGTGATACGTACTGTGCTTCAACATAATATTACCGTATCGTGTGTGTATAACCTCTTTTTACGTTTTGTGGATATTATACATGGTTATGCTGAGGATATGTCGGCCAATTTCCACTGGAAATGCCTTTTGGTTACACTGTCTGCAAGGAATTTGCATTTGCACTGTAAAGTTTCAGCGGGCTGTGTCGCTGCTGCATGTGACCTGAGAGAGTCATGTGACCTGAGAGTTGCTGCGTCC